GACTCACAATTTTCTCTTACTTCTTTTTTTTTTTTTTTTTTTGAGAAGAGTCTTGCTTTGTTGCCCAGGCTAGAGTGAGTGCCATGGCGTCAGCCTAGCTCACAGCAACTTCAAACTCCTGGGCTCGAGCGATCCTTCTGTCTCAGCCTCCCGAGTAGCTGGGACTACAGCATGCGCCCATCTGGGCTAATTTTTATTATATATATGTTGCGTATGTTCTTTCTATTTATATAGAGACGGGTCTCGCTCTTGCTCAGGCTGGTTGTTGAACTCCTGACTCCTGCAATCGCGCCGGCTCCGGCCTCCCAGAGAGCTAGGATTATTAGGCGTGAGCGCCCCCGGCCCTCTCTTACTTCTTATCCCAAGCACCTATCACAGATAGGCTCTGTACCACATAAGGGGTACTCAGGATGGGATGCTTGACAGATTTACTGGGGTAGCTATCCCCTATTCCACAGACCTCATTCCTCTGTGGGAGGAGGTGCTGGAATTGCCTTTGTCCTGCGTTCCCTGTCACTTCTGCCCATAACTCCTCCATATGTACTGCCCGCAGCCCCACCTGGTTGGCCAGCCAAAGCTTGGGCTTCAGGTGCTGAGACTCTGTAGGTAGTTGGGCACCGCTCCTTGTGCTCCTTAGGCTACTGCATGTTTGTAGCTCCGGCCACAGTACAGCTTACATGTAGGGCGTTGGCCCATATGTCCTTAGTCTAAAGGGGGAGAGAGAACACAAGTTGTATAAAATCAAGGGCCAAATGTATATAATTGTCCCCAAACAATCTGAAATGTTGCTTGGATGAGCTTTAGGTGAGTAAAGTAAATACAACCCAGTTTCCCAGGCATCAAGTATGACTTCCTTAGATACTGACCTACTGATTTTCTCTGGGCAAAGGCAGCTGGGCCAATGCTACCCTTACTCAACTGCTACTACCTGTCCCTACTTCTCTCCCCACTAGGTGACGAGATACGTGACCTGGAGATGGTGCCAGAGTCCATGCTGCACTCATCCTCTGATCGGCCAACTTTCATTGATCGTCTGGCCAACAGCCTCACCAAACGCAAGCGTTCCACACCCCAGAAGTTTGTAGGTAAGAATCCATTTGGAAAGGAGCCATAGCTCAAGTAAATCTGAGCTCCGGTAACCATTTGACCAGAGACTGTGGTCTGGAGATGTGATTTAGGGAAAGAAAGCTGTCTGGTGGTCTCTGGTACTCGGAATCTTTCTACAGAATAGGAAAGGAGTGAAGAGGGAGGGTGTACCCTGAGGGAATGGAGAGGGGTACATGTTGAGGACTCTTGTGGTGGTTGTAGGGGAGGAGGTCAAGGGCTCAGTTTTTGAGAATAACAAGGACTTCAGTCTGGGTGGGCCCTTAGAGTTAGAGAGAGGAAGTGAGAATGACTGGGCACTGGTCATTAGCTCTTTAAGGACCTGGAGCTTTATGGAGAGTAATGAAGTAAGTATTAAAGATCCGGCCAGGCGTGGTGGCTCACGCCTGTAATCCTAGCACTCTGGGAGGCTGAGGCAGGAGGATCACTCAAGGTCAGGAGTTCAAAACCAGCCTGAGCAAGAGCGAGACCTCATCTCTACTAAAAATAGAAAGAAAATTAATTGGCCAACTAAAATATATAGAAAAAATTAGCCGGGCATGGTGGCACAAGCCTGTAGTCCCAGCTACTAGGGAGACTGAGGCAGAAGGATTGCTTGAACCCAGGAGTTTGAGGTTGTTGTGAGCTAGGCTGACACCATGGCACTCTAGCAGGGACAACAGAGTGAGACTCTGTCTCAAAAAAAAAAAAAAAAAAGATCCATGGACTGGGACTGAGTCCTTCTCTAAGATTACAGCCTAGAGTCAGGGAGCAACCCCACAGAGGATCTGACCTTGGGAAAAGCAAATGAGGAGGAGTAAATACTGTTACATCCATCCCCACAGTCAAGAAAACAAAGTAATTCTGGAGAGAGCTTAGGAATCCTCCAAACCCAGCCCTGCTGAGACCCTTTTCTCCATAGGCGAAAAGCAGATGCGCTTCAGCCTCTCGGACCTCCCCTATGATGTGAACTCGGGTGGCTATGAAAAGGATGTAGAGTTGGTGGCACACCATGGTCTGGAGCCTGGCTTTGGAGGTTCCCTGGCCTTTGTGGGCGCAGAGCATCTGCGTCCCCTCCGCCTTCCACCTACCAATTGCATCTCAGAACTCACGCCTGTCATCAGCTCTGTCTACACCCAGATGCAGCCCCTTCCTAGTCGACTGGAGCTTCCAGGGTCCCGAGAAGCAGGTGAGGGACCCGAGGACCTGGCTGATGGAGGTCCCCTCCTCTACCGGGCCCGAGGCCCCCTGACTGACCCTGGGGCATCCCCCAGCAATGGCTGCCAGGACTCCACAGACACAGAGAGCAACCACGAAGATCGGGTTGGGGGGGTGGTATCCCTCCCTCAGGGTCCCCCATCCCAGCCACCTCCCACCATTGTGGTGGGCCGGCACAGTCCTGCCTACGCCAAAGAGGACCCCAAACCACAGGAGGGGTTATTTCGGGGTACCCCAGGCCCTTCCAAGGAAGTGCTTCGGGTGGTGGGTGAGAGCGGTGAGCCCGTGAAGGCCTTCAAGTGTGAGCACTGCCGCATACTCTTCCTGGACCACGTCATGTTCACTATCCACATGGGCTGCCATGGCTTCAGAGACCCTTTTGAGTGCAACATCTGTGGTTACCACAGCCAGGACCGGTACGAATTCTCTTCCCACATTGTCCGGGGGGAGCATAAGGTGGGCTAGCAACCTCTCCCTCTCCCCTCAGTCCACCACTCTACTGCCCCACCTACAACAGGTGTCTATCCCTGTTCCCACATCCCAAGTTTTGCTTTGTAGCCCCCACCACTGGCTACCTAACTTCACATCTGACCCTGACTCCTCCTCACCTGTGCTCCTTCACTCCCCTGACCAATTTACGCATTGTGATGAAACAGGTCTTTTGCTTGTTTCTCCTTTTTCTCTTCCCTTCTCATCACAGCATACTTACTGAGTTATTTATTAATTAGTTGATTTTTCTTTTGCTTTTTTTTTCCCATCTATGTCACTCACTTGCCACTCCCCCACCCCCCTGCCCACAGCCCCCTTCCATGTTAGGCCTAATTTTTCTCTTTGATCCAGTGTCCTCCAACAGCCCCAGGGTAGGAAGCCCCTCTTAGTACTTACTAAGAGATCTTGAGCTTCTTGCTTTAAGTCCTCACCTTCTACATTATCTAATTCTTCAGTTTTGATACTGATACCTCCCTCTGGCCCTACCTTAGCTCTGTGGCATTATATCTCCTCTCTGGGACTCTTCAACCTGGTACTCCATACCTCTTGTGCCCTCTCACTTTAGGCAGCTTGCACTATTCTTGAATGAATGAAGAATTATTTCCTCATTTGGAAGTAGGAGGGGCTGAAAAATTCTCCCCAGGCACTGTGGGACTGAGGGTCCTCTTGAAAATTAAAAGTGGTTAAGAGCGAAGAAGCTGGCTAAGACAAAGAAAGAAATAGAAAATTAAAGAAAGAAATTTGTGTCTTTCTCATGTGACACAAGGAAACGGAGATTTAAAGTGTATGGGAAGCTCTTACAAAGGTAGGGAGACTATGCGCTTAAAACATTTCTTAGATACGCTCTAAAAAATTGTAGACTCTGGCGAGTTAGTAGTCTCTGCTGTATGTGCTATCGAGGCGTTTATTGTTTCGTTTTCATTTTGTATAGCTGAATACAGCTCTCGCTCTCGCAGGCACATGGGTGGTCAAGTTGCGATTTTTTTTGTTTATTCTTTTCACATGGGCGGAGGGCGGAGTGTCTTAAAATTTACTAGTTATTTTGTATTTGAGAGACTGTGTTGTGTGTCCTTTGGTGCTTAGAGTTGCCATGGCATTCCTCTTTAGCTATAGTCATGGCAACCTCATAATTGCTCTCTTGGGCTCAAGCAATCTGCCCTCAGCGCCTGCTCCCACGTAAGCTGAGACTACAGGCATGCACCACCATGCCTGCTAATTTTTCTGTTCTTCTCATTGGCAATTAATTTCTTTGCTATTTTATAGTTAGATGACAGGTTTTGCTCTCTCTCAGCGTTTTGAACACCTGACCCTTGACGGCGACTCTCTCCGCTGCCTGGGCAAATCACTGATTTATAATTAACTCTTTTACTCTGTTCTTCAGGGTGCCA